ACTATCCGCACAACGAAATCCCCCAGCATTTGCTGGCATTCCTCGGGGCATACAGGTACACGTGCTGGCATTTCTGGCACAGCAAAGGAAGAAAAATGAAAGAAGGAAGGAGGGGAGGGAAGAGACAGGCTAAGGAAGAACAGTGGTAAGGGGGAGAAAAAAGAGATAGTAGCTGACCTTCTTTCAGATATTCACCTTCATGAGAAATGAAGGGAATAATTCACACTTCACAATAAAATAGTGCAGCCGCCTCTGCTTCCTTTAGCCAGAGAGGTTGTAATCACACAGACACTAGATATCCAATGAATCAAATCGATATATAAAGAAAGGTCCAAAGGTAAGGTGGGAAACAGGTTAATAAAAATCATTTTAAAGCCATAAACAACAACCAATTGTGGAACACTTATTTACTTTTTGGCATACCTTTACATTGTACTTTGTCATGCAAGTCCCACACAATGAAAGCAACATAAAAATTATTATCCTTGCTTTGTAGCTAAAGAAAATGGCAATAATTTAACCTCCCTAAACTTCATAGTCAACCTGATAATAAGGGACAGAACCAGGATTCAAACTCACACCGGAAACTTCAGCACATCCCCTGTGGTTTTTGGAAGACATGTCACAGGCTAAAAATATATATACGTATATGTATATAAAATATCCTTATATATGTATCATATATATGATATATGTATCATATATCTTTATATCTCTTTATATATGTATCATATATCTTTATATATGATATATGTATCACATATCTTTATATATGATATATGTATCACATATCTTTATATATGATATATGTATCACATATCTTTGTATATTATATATGTATCATATATATCTTTATATATTATATGTATCATATACAACATACATAACTGTATGAATTCTATATACAATACATATATGTTAGTGTGGATTATTTAAATGTCTATTAGCAAAAACATTTTAGATGGAGAGATACATACAAGTATGCATGTATTTACAAGTGGACATAGGCACTTCATTATATAGCTAATTTTATATACATATTTATGTATCTATCTATTTTTTTGAGACTGAGTCTCACACTGTCACCCAGGCTGGAGTGCAGTGGCACGATCTCCGTTCACTGCAACCTCCACCTGCCAGGTTCAAGCGAATCCCCTGTCTCAGCCTCCCGAGTAGCTAGGATTACAGGCACATGCCACCACACCGAGCTAATTTTTGTATATTAGTAGGGACAGGGTTTCACCATGCTGGCTGCTAGTAATATATTTTAAATCCTTTTCTTATCTGAAAATGGACTTGATGTTTGCAGATGTTTCTGCAGTTTTCTTTCTCAACATATTAATCAGACACATGACTTACATATACAGAAAAGAGAGCCTCTGACACACTTACAATCAATAGATATAGGCTTGGCATGAAGATGTAAAATCATAATGAGGCAAAAATAACAGCTTCTCTATTCGACGTTTATTAACAATTGAGATAAAGTGTGCTGTATGTTTTGTGGGCAGCAATCATTCATTAAAACCATCTTACTCTAATCTACATGAAAGGATGAATTAGAAAGTCATCCGGCCTAAATGAAATGACCAAACAACATGAAAAAAAGAGAAAAATATATATAGCATTTCTCAGTTCCTGTTTGTAAGTCAGAAGCCAAACGAAGTGAAAAGATGGAGGTGTTTTTGCTTGTTTATGTGTTTTTTATGTGTGTGTGGGGGTGGTGATGGTAGAAAGATAACTTTCGGAGCGAAAAATACAGTAGTTTTCCTAGGAAAAGTGTCATTCCAGCCAGTCATAAAGAAACAATTTTGGGCCGGGCGCAGTGGTTCACAACTGTAATCCTAGCACTTTGGGAAGCTGAAGGGGGCAGATCACGAGGTCAGGAGTTCAAGACCAGCCTGACCAACATGGTGAAACCACGTCTCTACTTAAAATACAAAAATTAGCCAGGCATAGTGACACGTTCCTGTAATCCAAGCTACTCAGGAGGCTGAGGCAGGAGAATTGTGTGAACCAGGGAGGCGGAGTTTGCAGGGAGCAGAGATCGTGCCATTGCACTCCAGCCTGGGAAACAGAATGAGACTCCATCTCAAAAAAAATAAATAAATAAGTAAAATAAGTAATTTTGATAAGAAGGAAAAAAAAATTGAGCTCCTTTCACAAGAGGTAGGTAAAGTGGAGTCTTGGCAGAAGAAATATATGAGTAACAAATGAAGACCTGAAATCACTTGTGATTTGCTGCCAACCAAAGTCAGCAATACAATATGACCCAAGTCATATTGTAGGTAGGTAAGAAAAGAATGAAATGAAGCCAGACCATGAAAAGTCCCCCTGGGTAAGTAGCTGAACACCAATAAAATGTAAGGGATATTTTTTCCTCTGGGATAAATACATATGTCAGCTAAGAAATAACATGGTTGGAATCCAGCACACTATTTGGAAAATTCCTGAGATCATCAATAATCCAGTGAGGTTCATTAAGATATGATTTTGGAGAATGGTCAAAAGAAAGGAATGGGATGATGCATCAAGATTACACAGCAATCAGTAGTGGCTGGAATTAGGGATTAAATGGACAGGCTACTGGTGAGGCTTAATGAGTAAAAACAGATTCAACAATATCACTTGCATGTTTTACATGGGATTTTAGAGTGCACTGGAGTCATTGATAAAGTCAGAGAGGTCAGAAAACAGACAAAAAAAAATTTCATGAAAGGAATTAGTTTTTTTTTTTTTTTCTACCCAAAAGTGACTGCAATGTCATTTTGGGATATTCTGTCCAGTCATTTTTTCTATGTATTTTTTAAAATTATACTTTAAGTTCTGGGATACATGTGCAGAATGTGCAGATTTGTTACATAGGTATACATGTGCCATGGAGGTTTGCTGCACCCATCAATCAATCATCTACATTAGGTATTTATCCCAGTGCTATCCCTCCCCTAGGTCCCCACACCCTGACAGGCCCCGGTGTGTGATATTCCCTTCCCTGTGTCCATGTGTTCTTATTGTTCAACTCCCACTTATGAGTGAGAACATACAATGTTTGGGTTTCTGTTCCTGTGTTAGTTTGCTGAGAATGATGGTTTCCAGCTTTATCCATGTACATAGTTTGATTTTTAATGCGAAATTTGAGTTGCCTTTGAAATATCCAGATGATAATGTTCATAAAGCAATTGACAATGTGGATTAACAGCTTAAGCAGAACAATGGGGCAAGGCATATAATTTTTACAGGCAGCCACATTAAACAAACGGCTGAAGATACAGGGGTGACCGTGAAAGACAATGGAGGGAAAGAGAGAGAAAAGGAGATGGCAAGAGGATGAAAGAAGAAGAAACAGGAGGAGGAGGAGATGAAGGAGGAGAACTAATGGAGAAGGGTGAGAAAGAGGAAGAGGGATAGCAAAAGGTAGTATGGGGAAGAAAAAAGAACTCTGAGGAACAAAATAATCTTAAAGAGTACACGACAAAATAAGAGAAAGTCATTCAAACATAATACACATCAAGTCAAGGAGAGCAACTAGGACATTCTCTTTCTCAGAAATGCATGAGAATAACTTACTTGCAAATTAAGTCATTTATTCTACAAAAGATTTTTCTTTATTTGAAATTTAAATTCCAACTAATTTCCATCAGTAATGTTATAAAGACACACACACACACACACACACACACACACACACACGAGTATGTCACTGGATTGCTAAATTAAAATATCAGGATCACATTTGGGAGGTAAGGACATTCTGTACTATACCTGATAATGGTCACCCAATTTAGCCTTGGAAACCATAATCAATACTTGGCCTTTATTTGAGTCTAAAGTGAAGATGTTACTGAAGACACTATATGTCTGTATACTTCCTCTGGTGTTCATATCTTTATTTATTTGCAATTTTCTTGAGCAATTTGATTTTATAAAACTTGTGAACAGGGTCCTTGATCAGATTTCCTTTTTTATTTTTTCTCGCAGTTCCTTTAATCCTAAATTTGGGGGCTTTAAATAATGAATATACATGTCTGTATTCACCAAATTCTGGCTTCCAATTTATCTCTACCTGTGTTTATTTGTTTTAACTTGTTCATCTGCTTCAAACCTATGTGACTTTACTACATAGCGTGCATCCTTATAGGCTGTCTGAAATGCAATTTGAAACAAACTTGTATATGCATTACACATTTTTAAAAAATGGCTTTTGTAATCTTATACTTTGAACTTTAGATTCTGCCTACTACTTTTATCATATAAGGAAGAGCTCTAAAATCCTTTCCTTTATTATAGAATGTCTAGGTTGAGGGGTTTCTTATCATCAAGGCCAGGTTTATGGATAGATAAGCAGATCCAAAGAGGAAGAAACAAGAATAAAATCATATTTGAAATACAGATCGCTCTGTAATATGTAATGGGTTCTTCAATGGCTCAGAAAAATTGAGAGTGGGTCAATGGTACTAGCAGTCACTCCTAAAAAATGTTGTTAAGATGGACACAAATACAGAGGCCCTTGGTAATCGTGACTGCCTAATCCACCCTAGACACGAACCACCAGAGCAACCTAGTATCTGGCTGATGACAGGCCTAGATGACTTTCTATTTCTCTGTGTGCTGCATCTGCATGTGAATATACACAAACAAATAATTAAACATCAAGCAAATATCAACAGGATTAGCTTGGCATGTTAGAACAAATCTTGATAAATCCGCCTCAGTAACAATACTCAAACTACAAGTCTATGAGAGGAATACAAATTCAGCCTATTGAAGTATTGTCATGTAAGGAAAGCTATTTTAATAAACTTGCTCTTCCGTCAGTTCCTATTACTAAGGGACTAAAGCTACTGAGCTGCAGAACTTAGGCCAAAAAGGGGAATTTGGAAATGCAAATTAGAGATAAGGCGGTAATAAATGTCTCTTATTCAGCAATACATGATCCTTGATGCCAGGAGCTATTTTAAAGATGACTTTTAATAGGTCTGTGAAATTGGAAGCATACATACCCAAAATGGACATTTCTGGTACAGTAGCATGATAGGGTCCATTAAGAAACTCTGGTGCGTTGTCATTGATGTCTTGAACTTTAATAATAAATTCAGACGGAGGCTCCAGAGGTTTGCTTGTCTCCCAATCCACTGCTTGAGCTGTTAGGGTATACTCAGCCTTCTCCTCCCGGTCAAGTCTTTTTATAGCATGGATATCTCCAGTTACATCATTTATTTGAAAGATGGTCCCAGCTCCATCACCTGATAGGATATACTTGATTTTTTTGCTCCCAGGATCCAGGTCTGTGTGTAGCTAAAATGAAAAATGGCATTAGTTAGTGATGGAGCAACCTGAAAAGTTATTTTTTTAACTGCCTCCTTTTTGAATATTAAGTTGGTTCTTTTTACACAACATCATCAATTTCTGCTAATAGTAGCTGTACAAAGCGTATGCAGCTGTGCGGATATCAATTAAGAATAAAATATAATGAAATTCACCTAAATAAGTTAGAGCAGTCCTTAAAAAGTATTCTGGCCTGTTTAGTACAAAACAACATGCTTTTAGAATGATAAAAAGGTCAAGGAGAAAAATACAAATATATGTTTTATTTTCAATCTATTAAATTTATTTAAATTATTATGATTAGTTACTTTTTATGGGTCAATATCTGTATGCCCAGTACTAGGTGAATCACTTCTCATATAATCATTTCCTTTTTATTTAAAAAACTGGGTTAAGAATGTTTCATATGAAACATGAGAAAACTGATGCTGAACAAGGCACATATTTACCTCTCCAAGGTGGACATTTGACAGACTCAAGTGAGGTAGATCCAGAATTCAATTCAGATCTGCCTGTGATATTTATACAAACAAAAGTAATTCTAATATATTGACTGATATTAAGATATTACATTTTTGAAAGCCTTTTTTCCTTTAGTTTGGACAATTCTTCTAGTCCGGGAAAATCATTCCCATTTTATAGAGAAGAACACTGAGACCAGGATATAGGAGTACCTTTTCCAGAAATGGAACACCCCAGAAAATGACAACTTTTCACCATGAACCCAAATCCATTTTTGGTCATAGCAATGAATATTTACTGAATTTGTGTGTCAGGCAAATACTCTGCCTAAAACACTGTGGTAGGTACCAAGGAAAACAGAATCCCTGGTTTTAAGGTTCTGACAATTTTCTCTCAAGCAGGAGACAAGAGTATTCTGATATTATACATGGTGTTTCTCCTGTTTAAAAAAAAAAAAAACTAACATAAAATAAAATAATAATATATATATTTGGGGATTTGAATTTTTAAAAGACAAGTCCATTGCAATGTACTACTTCAATGTACATATTTTCAGTTTAATTCAATTACTTAATTGCCAATATAGTTCCAGCTGAGATTTCAAATATTTGTTCCAAAAAAAAAACTGTCTCGTGGAAAGAAACACCTAGAAATTCAAAAGACACTGTGTTCTCTTGGGATTCCCTTTATTCAGAACAGCCTCTTTCACATTCTTCGACAATTTAAATTGCATTAAGCCCTTCAATAAGTGAAAAGAAAGGCTTATAAAAAAGACATAAAATAGCAACAAAGATTCCAAATGCATCTAGATCTCCTACTTTACCTTTGCATATTTTTTAAAGTTAAAGCATATAATTACATCAAATATTTATTGATTCTCAAAATGTATCCCTTTCATTTATTGTATAAAATGTATTAGCATGAACAAATATTGAAATGCCACTTTATCTTAATGAATGTGGGATTATAATTCATTAATGTGATATTAATCCTAATTTATAATCATTTTAATTTATGTGCATTTTAATATTTCCATTAGCATTTTTATTAAAAAATTTGAATAATATATACTTCATGGAAGTTTCCATTCACATACAAAGAGTTCTTGAGACATAGAAGGGATCACTATGTATATTTTTGCCCACAAAATTTTGTTAATTAACAAATAAACTATTGCATTTCGTGTCATTATTATTTATGTTAAAACTTATTTGTGCCATATTTTCTTCTAATTACCAATAGCCTCTGATTATTAAATGGTATTACAATTTTATGTTTTAATGCTCCCTTGTGTTTAAAAATGACTAAGGGAAGTAACTAATGATAAAAAAGAAGCATCGGTTTTTTCGGTTTGGTTTTTTGTTGTTGTTGTTGTTGTTGTTGTTGTTGTTTTTGAGACAGAGTCTCGTTCTGTCACCCAGGCTGGAGTGCAGTGGTGCGATCTCAGCTCACTGCAAGCTCCGCCTCCCGGGTTCAGGCCATTCTCCTGACTCAGCCTCCTGAGTAGCTGGGACTACAGGCACCCGCCAAGGCGCCTGGCTAATTTTTTGTATTTTTAGTAGAGACGGGGTTTCACTGTGGTCTCGATCTCCTGACCTTGTGATCCACCCACCTCGGCCTCCCAAAGTGCTGGGATTACAGGTGTGAGCCCCTGTGCCCGGCGAAGCATAGGTTTTTGAAAGAACAAAACACAAAGCTAAGATTCCGGTTTCTCTAACTATATAGTTCCTCTAACTGTATGAACTATATAGTTAGAGAAATGAGTGAAGAAATTCATTCATTTATTTGTGTTTCAGTTACTTTGCCTAGAAGACAGGGATAAAGCATCTATGTGCAGAATTGATTTTAGAAACTGAGACCATCCAGCTATCTGAAGATTATTAAAACAGAGAAGAGGCACTATTAAGTGTCCATTTTTCCTTCATGTCACATTCGGTCTTATGCAACTATCTGAAAACACTGTGATAATCCCAGTTCCAATGTAAGTGAAAGCAAATTCTCAAGACTCCCTTCAAAAATAGCTTTTAAACATATAGCACTTAAAAAAAAAAACGAGGTATATACTTCCTCTTGCTTTCAGAAATTTTACTTTCAGCTTATCTAAGTAAAATCCAGATCCTGGGGCCAATGATAATCTCAGAACAGAATATTGTATATATGAATGTTCATTTATTTCATCCTATTATTTGTATCACACACACTGACACACACAGACATGTACATACTCATGACTCAAGTCATGTACCTGCACATGACTTGTTCAGGTGACCAACTTGATAATAGAAGAAAAGACTGTAGGTGTGCAAAACCAGCAACTGACAGAGAGCAGTTACCGAGGCTGCAGGTCTGGCCCTCCGAAGTATTCAGGATACATGGTTACAAGTTGTAGCTTTTTCTGTCAGTCTTCACATAAGTGTGTCATACCCTGTTCACTTAACGCAACAACACTGCCCCGCCAATGTACCCCACCTAAGAACTCCTTCTCTGAGATTATGGAGCCAAAGATATCCCAAGTGCACTGAATGTTCACATACTGTGCATCATTTAGAACACGGATGCCCAACTTCTGGGCTGTGAACTAATTCTGGTCCGGGCCTCAGGGCAGGAGGTGAGCAGCAGGTGAGCTAATATTACTGCTTAAAAAATACTCTGGACTGTTTGGTATAAACCAAAATGCTTTTAAAATGATTTTTAAAAAGGTCAAGGGGGAAAAAAAAGTGTTATTTTCAACTTACTGATACATTTATTTAAAGTTGTTATGATTAGCTACCCTTTATGGGTTACTACGTGTATGATAAGGACTATGTGAATCACTTCCCCTATAATCATTTCCTTTTTAGAAACATAAAATGAGCTAAGAATGTTTCATGTGAAACATACAAAACACAGAGCGGATACATGGTTACAAGCTGCTGTTTTTTCTGCTGCTCTTCACATAAGTGTGTTATACTTTGTTCACATAACAACAACACTGCCTTGTGAACATACCCACCCAGAACCCTTTGTCAGACCAGCAGAGGCATTAGATTCTCATAGGAGCAGGAACCCTGTTGGGAACTACACATGCATGGGATCTAGGTTGCATGCTCCTTGTGAGAATCTAATGCCTGACGATCTGAGGTAGATTCGTTTCATCTGGAAAGCAAAATCCCACCTTCTCTAGTCCGTGGAAAAATTTTCTTCCACAAAACTGGTCCTTGGTGCCAAAACGGCTGGGGAAGGGTGATCTAGAGGAACGAGTGCCATCTCTTCCAAGGGCTGCTTCTGCTAATCAGAGCAGGATCAGAATCACATGCAATCCTGCCTGGGCAGGTAGGACTCACTCAGCTGGCTGTGGTACAAAAAGATCGCATTCATTCATTCAATAAACCCCACGCTCTTCTCCGTCTTAGGGATGGAGGTAGAGTAATAAAAAATACAGACAAAGTCTCTGCTCTCAAAATACCATAATTTTGTGGGAGACCGAAACAAACAGAAAATTTACGGGAAATAGAGCTTTTAATATATTATTATTATTATTAATAATTAACTACATAGTAACATATTGTTAATATTTGTAATTAATACATATTATTATGGTTATTATTAATGTGTTGACTACTTATTACCTGGTAAACATTTCATATTTATGATGTTATTCTCACAGCAAACTAGAAACCGTTTCTTCATTTTACTAATGAGATGATTGAGATTCAGAGATTTTCACACAACTTTTCCAGAGAGTTTCTAATCTGCAAGTAGCAAACTTAATGGCACAAGCTTTCGAGTTCATTTCTGGATTCAAACGCATGCTCTAAGAGCTATGCTAAGAAAGGAACTGAGGGCTGTGACAGCATACAGAAATTTTACATAACTCAGAAAATAGGGTATAGAGGGACAGAAAGTCTACCCCAAAGAAGTAATCATTAAAACTTCAGAGGCAGGAGAATCACTGAACCCAGGAGGTGGAGGTTGCAGTGAGCCAAGATCGTGCCATTCCACTCCAGCTTGAGCAACAGAGCAAGACTCTGTCTTGAAAAAAAAGAAAAAAGAAAGAAAGAAAAAAAAACTTCAGATCTCAACATTGGAGAAAACGTGTGCCAAGCGCAGGGAATCCAGAGATGAGAGAGAGCATAGTATGAGAGAGAAACTAATAGAGCAACGAATTGAGAAAAAGAAAGGTAATAAGAAATAGGAATGAGAGAGCAAGACAGGGGCCACATGATACAGAGTTGTGAAACCAAGATACAGGGTTCGGATTTAACTAAATGTGACAAGAGAACATAAATAAATGGTTTCAAAAAGTTGTGACATGATAATAGTTTTGTTGTAGTATACTGCAGTGGTTACAATGTCTGCTTACAAGCAAACATTATAGAAGCAAAGAGAAAGGGGAGGTTGGAAAAAGAAAACATAGACACCAATTCTCAAAGCTGCCTTAATTCTGATTCTCAAAGCCAGCCTAGCATCCAGGATCCGGCATGTTTACAACCAGATGAATCCCCAAACCCTCTGGCCACCCACTGTAG